CCAACCGAAGGGAAGAAGAGATATCGGCCGACCCAGAAAGAGATGGTCCTGAAGTGCAAAGCGAAGACTGAACAGGCACTTCTGCCTAATCCCTGAAATGGAGAAGACGACTTTAGATGAAGCCTCTAGAATATTTTCAGAATTCTTTCAGTTTTTTGTCAGAATAGATAGACTTATAAATATGGCATAGGTTCGATTTCCATTGTTATCTCTCAATTTTCGAAAATTGCAAAAGTTTGGAATTATTGCCTTGCCTATCACAACAAAATTGAAGATAAAAAAGTTTTCCTTCAAATGAAATTTATTGTTATTAAACCGTCCATGAGGCCATGCAAGTTTTTTAAAACCATTTTAGTAATTTTTGCCCAATATTGAGTGAAATATGTGCAATGTTAAAAATATTCCAAACAAGAATTTCTCAGAAACTTCTCCAAATTTTGTTTAAACAATTTTTCTCAAAAACAGCACTAACAAATTTTGATTAAAATTTTACCTCAAAAGCGTACAGAAAATGGTGCAGGCCTCATTTTTGTTAAAAATTAGGATTTTCAAAAATTGCAATACATTTTTTCAGGGTCTTCCTACAATTACAATTATGAAGACAATTTCTTTTTTTTTTTCCTTAATGAAATGTGCTCATTAAAAAGAGATCTTCAAATAATGTCATGTTCAATTTTCCGAAAATATGAGTATTTTTTGAGAAATTTTGTGTTCAACATAGGCAACACCGCAATAATAACAGAAGGCGATAATGACAGTGCATGTTAAAATAAACTAATAATTTTATTTATGGCTAAAATATGCATCTACATTGTTGATACATTTGTGTAGACCGTGAGTGAATACACTAAATTCAATTGGCAGAAAGCTTTTTTTAAGTTTGAATGTTTGAAATTTTAAAAAAATGTATTTTTCAAATAATAGTTGAAGTGTAGACAGAAATAGTCATATAGACAGGAAGATGTTGCATCTATTCCTGCCCTGCCTCAGATCTTACTTGTATCTATTCTATTGTATCCCTGCTCCGTCTTGCTCAACCTATCTCTGCCTTGCTCTCACTTGAATATAATCTGGCTTCCGAACTTACTCATTAAAAATGTTTATAATTTTTAAATTGAAATTTTATGTATTATTTCCATACTTTCAATCAGTTGCCACATTGTAAAACTTAATCTTTTTCATTTTTTTTTTCTTCTAGCATATTTATAAAGAAAAGTTTGTAAGTGATCTTTGACCCCACGCCGAGCAATTAAAAAATAAATATAAATGACGTTCTTTTAATTGAATTAAGGGTTCGTGTTTTAGGGTTCTTCGATAAGTAGTGGAAGATGGAAAGGCGCTATTAACCACTTTTATAATATCTCAAAAAATCCGAGATCACATAGTGAATCCCAGATTGACCAAGGATTTTCACTTCCTTACAAAAATTCATCCATCTGTCACAGTTTCAATCTAACTCCTCAATCATACATAATAAGTTTCACTTTTACTCACCCCATCCTTCTTGCAAAAACGTAATAATTATACTTAATATACTACAACTGAAGCAATAACTATTTCATGTAGAACACACAAGTCCAAGATTTATAAATAGAATGAAGAAAAACATTCAAAATCATTTTTAAATATAAACATTTCGCATTAAACAATTGGTGATAAAAACAAAACAGTGCTCATCTCCATCATGGTGCACAGTCAAACTATTGCAAGTTGATGCACTCTTGAATCTATGATGCAAGCTTCGCGAAAATCATCCAGAAAAGTAATAATATTGTGAATATATGAAGGTTTATGGTTGTTATAGCCTATAACACTTCTGACTTTCAAAGGAAGCTGGTACATAAGTTTCACTGCTATTCGTCGAGTACATTAAGAGATTACAGTGTTGTAATGCAACACCCTTGTCTTTATGCATAGTATAGATATAGCCATTAACTATATTGTGAGTGCTGTTGTAGCACCACTAGTGTCTTTAAAGTAGGGCTCATGCTAATATACTTGTAGAAGATGACATTAAAAGCAATTTTGCTGTATTTTTTTGTTTTTTTCTAAAATTACACAATGTAATTTTTGAGAAATCTCACATTAGTAGTATTTACGTTTCTCACACATAGCCATTTTTTTTTATACAGTATTGCATTTACGAGTACATGTGCTTCAAATTTTGTCTTATGAAGTTCCTCAAAACCAACAATTTTCTGTAAAACCGAATAAAGATTTCACTTTTTTAGAAATGTTAAGCCCTTTGTTTTTTCTTGAAACTGCTCAATTTTTTTTTTCTTTAGGGTGTTTGCACTGATTGAGATAGATTGTATTTAACATAAAACATACCTGCTGCACAGAACAAAACAATTGTAATGTGCCTGTTGCATGAGAACATTTATTTGTTAGTTTTACAAGAAATTACCTCTTACCAGAAATTGTTCCAAAACAAAAGTGTAGTTGGTGCATTATATAAAATATTTTTCTTTTTCTATCACATGCACTAATGGGTACTATAATCACCCAAGAGATGTGCACCCCCCCCCCGCCCATAGATTATTACTTCCCGTTTTTTATGTAGATGATTAAATTTGACTTGGAACAACTTATTTAACCTTTTCGCTGCTCTGGACACCTTATGGCGCGGCGCCGGGATGTTACCTGCAGCCTCTGGACGTCTATAGGCGCTGCGCCGGGCCGTTTCTGGGGGCCTCCGGACGC